GCGACTAAAATTTAATAACACACACGTACTCTGTCCTACAGACTTATTAATGTACCTACTCATATTCTTATAGTTCAAAACTTTGAACCAGCCCCAACTTGCCATTGTGTCTCATCCTTATTTATTTATACTTTATTGCACGCACAGAAAAAATTGTTTACATTGTAATAGTAATTTGAGTACAATGAGCGGTCTTATCACACGCGGCGGTTTCTTCCAGACAACCTTTGGATGGAATTTTTAAAAAGAATCTGTTAATGGGTGGTAGGTGCACAATATTATAAAAGGAAAAAAAAAGAAAACGAAAATAGAAGAGAAAAATACAAAAAAAAATTAAACAATCAACAAAATTTACAGACTACATATAACTTATATTACAGCTTTAACTTTTGTAAAGAAACAAAATAGAGGTACAATAGCTTAGTTTAAAATAAATACAAAATAGACTAGATCTTCGACTTTTCTTGTTAAGTAGTTAACTATAAGAAAGATATATAATCTGTGTGTTCCGTGTTTGTAAGGAATATGGGCGACCAGCGACCTTCTACTTGATCTCCGAGCTTCACTGCGCTCCGCTAAGCCGCTTATTGCCGCAACACTATTTGTCAGTTAGGTGTAGACAACGTACTATGTTGTTCGAGACATGTTACTATGTCTACATATCTAGGTATGTTTGTCATATACTTGTACTTCGTGTCGTTCTGCGAACAAATTTTAGATGTGGACTATTATTGCCATTAATAGTTGTTAATGAAAGGGTGATTATACAAATATTATACGACCAAGATTATCTCTTAGTGATGAAAATATTATAATTTCAGTGCACTATGTTTTTTTTCATTATCAATTGACACATAAAGCCCGCTGATAGGTCTTAGCCAAAACCTATTCATACTACAAGGATCAACCTTTAACATACCAAAAAGTCTTTATTTTATGTTTGAAGCTCCGGTCTATATCATATAACCAAATACCCCTATATCCAGTACTTATGTATCTATGTGGAAAGTAACCCTACAGCAATCTGAGGATTGTCCGTTGTTAGCCGTCAGACAGCATTCGATCTGCTCGATTGAGCAACAATATACCCAGCACGTAATCGAATCATATACCGCTCACTTACTGCGTATGCGTATAAGCAGACATTGTGTACACAATAATGTATTAGTGATTCTTGAACCATTAAAAGTTATTTTTTATTTTACTATTTACATTTCTGCCTAGCAGGCTTAAAAATTGCAAGAATATCATTAGTTGCAACTGTAAAAATATCGGTCAAATATTTTTTTTATTTCAAAAGTTTAATTAGCAGCACTGAATTAAAACTGATGCCAGGTATAGATACTTAACAACAAACTCCGCCTCTATAATGTTGAAACAAATAACACGACTATCAAAAAAAAAACCGCTGCTTACCACTTCATAGACACAAGCCCTGACTCTATTTCCCTTGTTAATTTATTTGTAGTGTTCCAGCGACATATAACAACGTAATCACTTTATAATTCACTGAACTATTACTGCCCTAAACGTGGGTATATGGGTACAATACCCAGGGTATGAATTAGTCATAAAGAATGCTAGCAACTTGTGATGGATGTAGCATGATGCATTGGTAACTAGACTTCGTAATTGTATGTTGTGGGTGTGGGATCAATGCACCTAGTATGTGTACAAAATAATTTAGTGATAGGTACATACATATCTAATATTGTGTGGTAAACCCCTTTTATATTGAGTAGGGCCATATAGTCCAATACTAGGATATTACAGGGTTTGATGATATTTACAAATTAGATACTAACGGAACGTTCCGACCTCACTCGGGAAAATACTATTTCCTAACTTTCTCGATGTTTTTTTTTTCACTAAAAGAAACTTTGAATAACAAATTGTTGCTTAATGACAAAAATAACAAAACAGAATTATTATAATCTATCCACCATCTCGGCTCGACCTGAGACCACGGCCTCACAGAAAACGGACGTGAAACAACGCTTGCTACCGGAGGCCTAATCCTCCCCCCTCCCTTCCCCAATCCCTGAATCCCTAATAATCCTCAAATTCCTAATCCCAAAAGACCGATAACGCACTTGTAAAGTCTCTGGTGTTCCAGGTGACGCCGATTGCTTATCATCAGGTGATCCGTCTGGTCTTTTACCGGCTTATCCCATAAAAAACCTTCAAAGCACTGACTTGCATCTAATAAAGAGTCAAACTGATTATCATATTCAAAGCACATTCGGAATCTATGCCAAGATAATAGTACTCAGAACTAACTATAATAATAAAACTTTGGTTCAATCAGAACTCGAAAGTTGATCATATTCACTAGTCACCAAGACAATGTTGAATTCTAAGTACCTGCATAAGTTTATTCAAGCGTATTTTCAAATAAGAAGCGAATAATTTTAGTCAAAATTACATAACATAATATCATGCCTTTTATCCCCGAAGGGGTAGAAAGAGGTGCACACAGAAGTAACACCCACTTTTCACTATTTATGTTATGAGTCCCATGTAATAAAACAAATCAAAATTAATATGCTTCTAAAATAAGGTGATACACAGTTGGTGCGGTGGCTAGGCAACCGGCTGTCGAGCAACGAGTCGCACGAAACAACTCTTTGTGTAATCCACAAATTGTTGTTTCGGGTCTGGGTGTCATGTGTGTGCATGTGAACTTATATGTTTGTAAACGCACCCACGACATAGGATAAAGTCCTATTGTGGGGCAACATATTATTTAAAAAAAGGCACATTCTCTATTCTTATGTCTACTGTGCCTTTTATGTTGTTGGAAAAAGGCTCTTCTCGTATGAAGAACGAATGACCATTGACGACACACCACTTGCTGTAGGCAGATTGGCGAATTCATACTTTATTCTTTTCCCGCGATATATTAAGAATAAAGCTTAATTATAAAGCTATGGAGGTTAATTATAAATGTATCAGGGATTTCTAAATACGCTTCTAAAATTAATGTCACTTAGAAATTAACCCATTGGCATCTTCCAGGTTTCGAAACAACTCCGTTTTAGGGCGAAGGTTAATAATAATTTAATGCACTCAAATAAACTGACCTGCCGAAATAAAATGCGACAATGATTCCCATACTCGTTACACTGCATAGGTTAAAGACTAACTACAGTTTAAATTGGTGTCAACCACTGCAGTTAAACCGAGTTTAATTGTGTTAGTAACGAGTTAGTTGCAATTTAACCGAGCAACTAACTGAGAACGTTTGTATTGCCTAATGTGATAGTAATGTTTTGTTAGGTAATTTATGTAGATAAATGCATGTCAGGGTAATTATGGACGTCTACTAAATCTACTCTAATCAATCTTCTCTCAACTCCTAACATAACGATTAATTGTTTTGTTCGTCATTTAAAAGTATATTTAAAAAAAGAATGAAAGAAGGTTTGACCTGTCAATGGTGCTATTTAATCTGTGTTTAATTCCGGAACAGCATTTAATTCGTGTGGTATCGTAAAGTTTGGCAACGAAATATTATTTGTCCATCTAATAACATTAAATCATCAAACATTATAGTTGAACATGTCATAAATTGAATACAACACCTAAATGATCTAAGCTAAAGTACTGAACCAATTAAGTAGTAAACAATTCATTTTAAAAAGAAAAAAGTGTAATTAGCTCGCCTGTTCCTTTGACTGGCCTGTTTTTAACACTTGACTTCAATGACCTTAATCAGCTATTAGGGACGGCAAAAAATACATTTCCAGTTCACAGAATAACACAGGAAACGCGCCACATTATTTCAAATGAAAAACGATTCGTACAGAATTAACTAGAACATGATATTCATCATTTGAAAAGAAATTCACGTGTTTTAAGAAATGTACTAAATCTGTCTGTAATGTAAATGTACTGGAGAGAGTCAATGTACTTTCAATACTTTTTTACTTACAATCCAGGAAATATAAATGTCACTGTATCAACTGTATCCCTCGTTATCAAACGAGGGATCATAATCTCGGTTCTCTAGTCAATCACAATAGGTAGAAGGTGCAGAAATCCAGAAATCAGTAATAAGTAATGTCACATTCGTGAAAATTGTTTTATAATTTTGCTAGATGGGGCCCCAACGAACTGACAGATCACGATCATGTGATGGTGCATCTACTAACTGTACACGTAAGTTTAGTAGTAAGTTCTAAGTAAGAAGAAAACACAAGTAGGTATATTGCCTACTTTTATCTAGGTTGAATGAGTTTTAATATTATCCAGCCAGACATAATACATAAGAAATAAAACCAATAAATGATCGATGTTTATTACGAAGAAACCTGTGTACCTACAAGTTTTTATTTTTCTCTAGTACCTCAACGTAGGTGGAAATACCAAGAATGTTCCAGAAATAGGTGTATAAGTACGAACATAAGTATGTTGATCGACAAAACGACGAATATTCAAGAAAAACATTACAAAGAAATGTAAACTTTCTCTCATGTTTATCGATAATCGCATTAAAGTTGTTTCCATCACAAAGGTCTTATAACTTTTTTATTCGAAGGAAATAGCTCTTAATAAAAATATGTGAAATAAACATGTTTATGTTTATTTTGGTGTAGATGATGAACAATAATAATAATAATAATAATAATAATAATAGCCTTTATTTCAGATCGACATAGCTTAACCTAATAACACTATTTTAGAGCAAACATAAAACTTAGAGTAAAATATAAAACTTATTCTAGTATTTGCTGCTTTTTTATTTTCTGCAGATCTGTTTGCCAATCGGCAAAGGCCTCCTCCAACCTTTTCCATTCGGTTCTTTCTAGAGCCACTCTGTTCCACATCACTCCTGCCACTTCTCTTATATCGTCGTCCCACCTTTTCTGCGGTCTGCCTCTTTTCCTCTTGCCTTCCCTTGGATACCACTTTGTCTCCTTCTTACTCCATTTATCATGACCTCTTATTGTATGCCCTGCCCCAAAGCACGACAGACATTATCCATCGACATCTGTCATAGCAACGTCATAACAACTGACATTTGTGACATTGATAGTTCAACCAGTGTTGCCAACCACAAAATAAAAAATAACTATACGTTTCAACATACGCAAATACAACTTTATAAATATATAATGGAAGGTCAATTTCAAATATTATTTGACAAAATGAAAATTGAAATTCAAAGCCAAACTACTGAATTGAAGCAATCTATCACAAAAAGCATTATGGATAAAATTGATGATAAGCTAATCCCTTTAGTGGAAGAAAACAAGAACCTGAAAATAAGAGTAGAAAAACTAGAAAAAGAAATTGAAGTCATGAAAAGAGTGGAGAAGAAAAATAATATCATAAAAGAAAATAATATCGTAGTATTTGGCCTGGAAGAAAAAGAAACATCAACTCTTGAATTACTCCAAGAATTTAAGAAACATCTGAACCAAGACCTTAATATTAAAATAGAAAACTATGAAATCAACAAAATTCACCGCTTAGGTGCTAAAAATAGAGAAATTAACAAACCGAGACCGGTATTATGTTCGTTTGTAAACAATTGGAGAAAATACGAAATTATTAAAAACAAGAAGAACTTGATTAAAATTAATATCAGTGAAGATTACTCAAAGGAAGTGTTGGAAAAGCGAAAAGGGTTACAAGCCAAACTAGCTGAAGAAAGGAAAAAAGGCAATATAGCGTATTTGAAATACGACAAACTCGTCGTTATAGAGGGTAAAATGAACCAAGATAAACGAAAAAGGGAAGCATCTACCTCACCTACTGCTTATCACCCCTTGTCACCCAGTAACCAACCAAAAAAACATCAGATTATAGCTTCGATCAAGGCAAACAGAACAAATGTTTTTGATATGATGCGGGGTAGGTCCAACTCTCTATCAAATATATCTACCACAGAAAAACAATAACAATTAAGAATCGGCAAACGGAATCCAAAACCAATCGAAAATACTAGCAACAATGAAACTGGAATACACCAACCTCCCCCAAGCCGACTGGTCCTCGTGGGGGAAAAAGACCACAACCCTCCAACATCAAGTAATAACAGTAACACAAACATAACTCGAAAAGCTAACATATATATCGCAACACTCAATGTACTCACCCTAAAAAATGAAGAAAATCTTACAGAACTCATGTATGCTTTGGATCTCATCAAATGGGACATCGTTGGCCTCAGTGAAGTGAGAAGAATGGGCGAAAATATTATATCTTATTCAAATTACACATTATACCATATCGGAGAAACCCCAGGACTTCATGGGGTCGGATTTATTGTTAAAAAACATATAATAAAACATGTGGAAGGTTTTATAGGTATATCGGAGCGTATTGCGATAATGAACCTGAAACTGCCCGGATATAAAGATCCTTGGTCAATAATACAAATATATTCACCTACTGAACAATCGAGCTTAGATACAATAAATACATTCTACCTTGATCTAAATAATGCGATCCACGAGTATGGCTACAAAAACCTCATAATAATGGGAGACTGGAATGGCCAACTTGGCGAAAGGCGCCCGGAAGAGAAAAATGTACTGGGACCCTTCACATACAGCAAAAAACCGAGGAGTAGAAACGGAGAACATATTACGAACTTCGCACTACAAAATAATCTAGTTATCTTAAATACTGTGTTCAGGAAAAATAAGAAAAACATGTGGACCTGGATCTCACCGGATGGCAAAACAAAAAACCAAATCGATTTTATAATGTCCAACAGAAACAACTTCTTCTCTAACTTTACTGTAATCAAGAAACTAAACTTCAACACTAACCATAAACTAATCAGAGCAGAACTAGTATCAAATCAACCAAAAAAACCTAGACCAAGGCACGACTCAGGAAAAATAAAGCTCGGGAAACATCAGCTAGAACAAATAACAATCACTTTAAGCAACAAATTTACAGACTACAAATCTAACACAAAAGAATTGGGAACGCAAGAAAGATACAATTGGATAGAAAATACCATAAAAACCCAAATACAACTAATCACAAGTATCAAAAATGAACCGAAAAAATGGTTAACAACAAATACTACAAAACTACTAGAATTGAGAAACCACTTGATCAGCACTAAAGATACACAAAAAAGAAGAAAACATCTAACAGAAATTAGTAAACAAATAAAAGAGAGCATAAGAAAAGACAGGAAACAAAACAGAATGGAAACTATAGAAAAATTCATTAGCAAAACTGGTGGAATCAAAAAGGCATACAGGGAACTGAGGAACTCAAAGGATTGGATTGTTAAAATGAAAAATGATAGTGGAAAATGGAAGCATCGTAGAACAGATATAATGGATATAGCAACATCTTATTACAAGAGATTGTACGAAAACGACACAACGGAAGACGAAATTGATTTAGCGGGTTTCTCAAATATTCCCAACATTCTTCAAGCAGAAGTCGAGAAAGCCATAGATACCCAAAAGGCAGACAAATCACCAGGTCCGGACGGCATAAGTAATGAGATCTTAAAACACGGAAAGGAAGTGTTAGCACCTGTTCTTACAGATATGTTTAACAATATTCTAAACACTGAAATAATTCCTCAACAATGGACAGAATCTAGCATTATCCTATTGTTTAAAAAGGGTGATAAACATGAAATAGGAAACTATCGCCCTATCAGTCTTATGTCAAACATCTACAAAATTTTTGCTAAGATCATACTAAAACGCATTGAAAGAACATTAGACGAGCACCAACCCATCGAGCAGGCGGGATTTCGTAAGGATTACTCGGTGATCGACCACATCCATGTGGTTCGTCAAGTCGTCGAGAAATACAGCGAATACCAGCTGAAATATTACATTTCCTTTATCGACTACAGTAAAGCATTTGACTCTCTTTTACATAAAAATATATGGGAAGCATTAGTGGAACAAGGCATTGAACACAAATACATAAGACTCATAAGAAACGTATACAGTAATAGTACAGCCAGAATACAGTTAGAAAAGAAAAGCCAGCCGTTCAAAGTAGGAAAAGGCGTTAGACAAGGAGATCCTCTATCCCCAAAACTATTCTCAGCTGTACTGGAATCAATCTTCAGAAAACTCACATGGGAAAATTTTGGGATCAATGTAGATGGCACATCACTGACACACTTAAGATTCGCTGATGACATAGTGCTATTCGCCAAATCACCCGAAGAGATCACTAAAATGATAGAAGAACTTGCGATAGAAAGTGAGCGAGTAGGGCTAAAACTTAATCCAGAAAAGACTAGAATGATGACAAACGGAGAGAAAACTGAGATAAAGATAGGAAACACCGAAGTCAACTACACTGACGAATACATCTATCTGGGACAACTTATAACTCACAAAGAACCTATGCGCGAGGAAGTGAATAGAAGAATTGCGAACAGCTGGAGAAGATACTGGAGTTTAAAGGAGGCCATGAAAGACAAACAACTTCATAATAACATTAAAGGTAAACTATTTAACACCTGCATATTACCCGTCCTTATGTATGGCTGCCAATCATGGACTTTAACCCGAGAAATGACTAACAGACTAGCAACTTGCCAACATGATATCGAGAGGAGCATGCTGAATGTCAAAAGATCAGACAGACTGAAAAACAGTGTCATAAGAAAAAAGACAAGAACCATAGATGTAGTACAGAAAATTAAAAGACTCAAATGGAGATGGGCAGGGCATACAATAAGAGATGATGAACAGTATTAAATAAAAAAACATTCAATGCTGAACAATGGCATCCCTTTTTAGGGTAGGTTTACCATAAATCCACGTTTGGCAGGAGACTCGGGGACCAGAAAATTGGAAGACTGTAGAAGGTACTCCCCAACCCGCCGAAGTCAAAGTCAAAGCATTTATTTCAATTAAACCATATTTTGGTACTTTTGAAACGTCAACAAATACAAAATAAATGATAGTCTGTCAGTCAGTCCGTCAGTGAAGCTAGGTGAAGCTAGATGCTCATTCCAAAATTTAGATTCGAATGAAGAAGAGCGAGAATGAAACTCCATTCGTTTCTCTTTAAAAAAAAGTATAATATAGTTTAAAGATATAACTTGGTTCAAAATAATGTATTAAAACTAAGTTTCTCAGTTTAAAATTCTTTATCATCGCGAATAGGAAAATGAGTTCGTCGAAAACATCCCAATAGTAATTAAAATAAAATAATTACATAATGTTTGTCCCTATAGTTTCGCAACACCACGAAAGGTCGTGTAGTGTTGTTTGTATGTATATAATTAAAATAATTGAGTTAGCCATGTGGTCGGGCAAAAATACGCACCCCAATCTTCTCTGGGAGCGCCATTAGTGGCAATTGAAGGTTAATGTCAAAGCAGTCTAAATAATTAATTAAAGTTGGCAATAAATTGAGATAAATAAATGGCAAATTGCTTGTGGGTTAAACCTTCTTTTAGTTATCACCTCAATCTGTTATCTCTGTTTGGAATCTGTGTTACGAGAACTTACCGGACGAAAATTATTTAATTTTTATTTTAAATGGCTTTATACAAACACTAATGTATGTACAAGGTAGGCTTAATGCCATGGGCATTCTCCTCCAGCCAGACCTTTGGGTGATGCAGAGACAAAAACAAGGGTCGATGCAAGTGTATTCAATATGTGGGTATGACCAATATGAGTTTTATTACTTGTTATCCCATTTGATTGCTCAAGGAAAAACGAATTATTAGTACTTTACGTAAATATTAATACACCAACACAACGCGATGACTTTGACGTTGATTTATAAGACAGATAAAAAAAAATATAACCTAGAAAAATCTATTCATCAAAAACAGTATTCAAAGAAAATCGAAATGTAACAAATCATTCACACACAAATGAGATCACGTCGAATGTTTTTAACGAATACCAAATTTCTAGCCAGTTCTATCATGATTTGAATATAAAGCTAACAATTTGTTACTTTCTTCCTAACTTTTGTATCTGGCTAAAGAATACAGGTAACAACTCCGGACTTTTTTACAAAATACATTATATTATTCAAGTTACAGACAGGCAAATACACAAACAAAACTAATTAGGAAATACCTGGACTTTAAAAAAGAGTACCGTTAAGTTTGTTTCAGTGTTTCTTCTTAGAAAGCAGACAGATAGGAAATGTCTATCAATTTGATAATATTTTTTTTTATTTAAGTACCTATACAGTAGTGATATGATTGCCTCGTTGACCAAGTGGTCGCAAGTGCGACTGCCGGGCATGGGGTCTCGGGTTTGATTCCCGGGTCGGGCAAGGTATAAAATCCAGTAATACTTTGCCCGACCCGGGAATAGAAACCGAGACTCCTTGCGCAGCAGTCGCACTTGCGACCACTCGGTCAACGAGGCAGTCAATATTCGTGATAAATAATCAATCTTATTATTATTATCTGTTACGTCATCTATCATAATCTGGTCATCTATGGTCATCATTCATACATGAACGAAAATTAGTGTCTTATACACTTTTTTAACCGACTTAAAAAAAGAAAAAAAGGAATTGCTCACTTTGATCCTCTGTATGTGTGCATGTTTATGATTATCTTTATATATATATAATTCTTCTGTGAGTGTGTATGTCACTGAACTTCTCTCAAACGACTGGACCGATTTTGATAAAAAAATTTGTGTGTGTTCAAGGGGATCTGGGAATGGTTTAGATTCACAGATCAGCCCGGCAGATGGCGCTGCGTCGGTCTTTAGGTTAGTTATTCTAAACGGCTGAACTAATTTGAATGAATTATTGTTTATACATTCAAGTGGATATGCAGGACAACGTCTGTCGGGTCCGCTAGAGTTTTATTATATTTGTACGCGATTATCACGCAATTGGCTGAACCGATTTTGACGCGGTTTTCAGAAAAGTGTTTGTTATTTTACACTTAACACTTTAAACGCCATGGCAGTCACCGGTGACCGACATTAGCGGAGGAT